ATATCCTGTGACACAGCTTCGAGAAGGATGAAAGATCATTACTGATATAAATGCAACATGTTATTCAGAGAGAGCATACGTTTATACGTGTATCATTTCAGAAATACCTTTCCTATGTCTGTCTACACGTTAGAATTTCTTTAATCACCAGGTCTTTACTGAATTAAATTGTTCTTATTAAAAGTACAGAAATGGGAATTTGTTATCCTATGTAGAGTAAATAATATCTCTGCATTCACAAGTTATATATACATATTTTATACATATGTTATATATGTGTGTATATACACACATATACTCTTTATGTATCTATGTACCTATGTATATATCTATGTATCTATCATCTATCTATCTATCTATCTATCTATCATCATCATCTGTTTTTAAGAAACAAATCAGAGCAAAGTCTTAACAATAAAATAACAAGCACATACTGAGTACCTTTTGTATTCCATGCACAGTGCTGATCACTTTTCCAGTGCCAGTTTCTTTAATATGTCCCAGAGCTGTGGAAGTGGGTCCTTTTCCAAATTGAGAGAATTAATCCAGCTCCCCAAACGTCCATGTCATAGATTAGTATTCTGAAAATGAAAATAGATACCATACTTAAAGAACCAGTCATGATTCCTATAAACCAAGAGGTGAGCCAAATATTAGGCTGATTCCCTTCTACAGTGTTTTCATTGATAAAATAAATGTCTTACATCTTGTTCTGACAGTTAAATGAGATTTTGAATTGTACCTCACTTAATTTTCTGCTTTGTGTTTGTTTATGACTGAAACCAGGTTAATCTGTTATAAAATATGTTTCATTCACTTTCACTTTGCTTATATATATATATATAGATATATAAAATCGATATTCATTATAAAACCAGATCAATATTTTTATGCTTGCCATGGCTACATGTATGTGGAAGACATTCTCTTTAAGTTGAAAAAATTCAAGAAAGAGATAAAACTAATATTATTTATTAAGTGACCAGATCAATTTGTTTAGTTTTGAGAAGTGGCATCACTAAGAACTGAAACTTTATTTTGACTCATGGCAGATCTCCTAAACCATGTCAATAAAAATTAGGTCGCCTTACACACTGCTCTTCCAATGACATTATTTCCTTACTATGGTGACTTCTAAAACTCCAAAAACAATGTATTCATTGTGTACTCTGTTATTTGCTTACCGTTTCACACCCTTCACTAGCTTTCATACTTGGGGAAAAAAATTAGATTGTCTTTCCTTGATTAGTTTTGTAATCTACCTAATTGATGAATTATTTTTTCTCCTCAAGATGTATGTTATTTTGTAGTAGTTCACCATTGGATGTTATTTTAAATGCAATTGGAATGATTATTTATAACATAATGAAAGATTGCTCAATGTGTTTACTTTAAATTATACAATTTTAAACCTCAGATAATTATCTCTTACTAGCAGCAATCATCATATGGACATATGTTTATGTCCTTTTATGTTATTTTGTTTTAAATTTCCCAGCTCATACAACACATTCTGCTGGTGGGTCTCCCATACCACATGTGGACAAGACTGAGTCTGTGTTGACAACTGAGCCGATAGGCATTGACATTTTTTTCCCAGTCCCAACTAATAGAGTGCCAAAGCACACAGTCAGAACAAGGCTCTAGGGTTGCTGGCTGCAGAGGACAAAGTATTGAAAAGAGATGAAATTTTCCTGGCTGTATGACAAGAGGGCTTCTGAAATGGTCAGCCCAGGTACCTGCCCTCTAAAACAGAATTTAAAAAATAAAAAATAAAACAGAATATGCAGACAACTACTTTGCTGCTAATAGCATCAAAACAAACACATTTTTTCTCTTATCTTTTTATATTATTTGGTGAATTGAAATGGAGGACAAACCAGAGGAAATGTAATTGCAATTCTAAGGTCCAAGTGCTCTATAGGGTTCAAGATTTGTGGTCCTCAACCCAGGCACATAAGTCATTATCTGGGAGCTTGTTAGAAATGCAAAGTATCAGGCCCCATTCCAGATCTACTGAATCAAAATATCTGGAGGTTAGAGCCTTGGAATCTTGGTTAAAATCTGCAGGTGAATTCTTATGCACGCTTACGTTTGAAAAGCATTGTTGTGGAGCAGTGGCTGGTAGCATCAGTCTTACCTGAGAGTTTGTTAGAAATGTCAGCTTTCCAATTTCACCTTGTGTATGACAAATTAGAAACTCTGGGGTGGGACAAGTAGCCTGTGTTTTAACAAGTCATTCAGGTAACTTTAGTGCATGGTAGATCTTGAGAAACACTGGTATGGTGGAGTATTACCCATTCTTTAGCTTATAACAGAATCATAGGGGAAGGTGGTTAAAATTACAAGTAGGTGGGCCCTTGCATAGATTATGAGGCCAGGGAATCTGCATTTTAATTAGCTTTTTAAGTGATTCTCATATACATTGTCCTTGAACTACAGTTTGAGAAATGTTGTACATTTGTTGATCAGGCTGAGACCGCATTGTCAATCTTACAGAGCAAACAAAACTTCTCTGGGTGAAAAAAAAAAGTATACTTATGTATGTAGTGTTTTGTTTTTTGTTTTTTTTTAAAGTTTTCAGGTGTCTGAATTAGATTAATTACCCACATTTTTCTCATTTCCCCAAATTCAATCCTTCCAGCTATGAAGCGATAACCCCCCTGCTGGTGCATTAGTATTCCGGATGCTGGGAATAGCACTGTAGATATAGCTTTAACCTCCTTCATGACACCAGGAATACAATCAGAGCATTATGAGTGCACTAGTTCCAGAGCCTCCAGGAGAAAATACAATTTCTGCCTCATCAAGTTTTATTGATAAAACACAGATGTAGTTATATTATTCATATGACTTTCTGAATTTGTTTTTTTTTTGTCTTTTCCAACTTTTTAACATAATCTTTTTTTCCTTATGGGATAAGTAATCATTTGAGATACATTTAAATGAACAAAGATTCAATTTTTAAAATTTATTTTCAGCACACGATGGAAAAGTAGAAAATAATAATGACAACAACAAAAGACCTGTAGTTCTCTTGGACAGCTTCTTGAAAACTCACTTACATTTCTCCACAGTGGCAGAGCAGCAGCATCTCTAGCGTACCGTTGACCCACCCCAAGTTACCCCTTCAGGTAAGGCTTTTCAAATACAATCCCAGCAAAATAGCTTCAATAACAACCTTAGGAGTTCTGTTGATACCGACAGAACAGGAGAGTCTGCCAATGATTAAAGAATTCTTAATCACTAAAAATCAAACAAAAACAATCCAGATACAAGTTGATTGTTATGCATATCTGAAATAGAAGTCCAATGTGAATGTATTCTTTCTTTGCTTCATTCAGCAATTCCATGTAGAAACTGCCTAAGGAATATATAAGAATTTTGTATAGAAGAAGGCATATATAAGTGATATTTATTAAAGCCCCCAAACTGACAATAATCTACTTATCAGCAGTAGGATAGAAAAATTAATTAAGATATATTAACACAATTTAGTGAAAATAATGGACTCCTACAGTAGACAGCAGCAAAGATGAATCTGGCACAGATAAGAAACAAACATAGTGTGATTTCATGGATATTAAATCACATTTAAAAAACAGAAATAACCTGTTTTTTAGTTTACTATTTGTTAAGAGTAGTTACTCTATGGAAACTAGTGACTATGAAGGTGGATATTTGGGTAAGGAAACTACTGAAGTTCTAGAAATATTCTGTTTCTTTATTTGATTGGCTACATAAATGCATATCTTTTGTAAAAATATTTTGAGTGGTAGTCTTTTTATTTGTGTCTATTTCTGTATGCTATTTTTTTATTTTTATATTTCACTAATATATTAGGACAAAAGAAAGATAATAGGTACCAAGTCAGTTCAATTTCTGTTTTATGTGTACTGGTAACAAGTAGACCCAACCTTACAGGCTAAACTTGGTAGCCATGGTAAGGACCAGATGCACAGTATAAATTTCCAGAACCTGGATAACTTAAATTTTAGGATAAGTTACACTGGCAGATGACCTTCTCCTCAATCACAGGCTCTGTGGAATTTTCTGTCAGATATTTGTGCCAGTGAATAGAGCAAATAGATGGAAGTTTCCTGGAATATCTTAAAATAATTTGACAAGAGTCATCAAGAGAAGCAAAAGATTTGCAATGAACAAAAATTCAGTTGAAGCCTATTATGCTTAACACAAACTTCTTCCTTAAGAACTCAATGCCATAGAAGCACCTTCAAGATTCTTCCAAAATTTCCACTAAGAATGGACAAAACTAGAACGCATTGGCCCTGCTCTGAGGAGATTTACAGTACTCACTAGGCATCCATCAGGGGTTAGTTTCCAGGAACCCCCTCAAATGCCCAAATCCCCAGATGTCAGTCCTCTTCCTCAGCCCTCCATATCTGTGGGTTCCCTATCCAGGGTTTCAACCAATGAATGACTGTGTTGCTGATTAAATTTATGGATGTGGATTCCGTGGATATGGAGGGCTGACTTTCCTTTTTTTTGCATTTCTTTTTCTCATTGTAGTGGAGTCTTATATTCTGACTGGGCATTTGCTTGAGCGGTTTCATTACTACATGTATTAAAAGCTAGGTACTGTTTGATGTACCTTCTTCTGTGTTCTTAGACACCTCCTCTTTTGTGGTTACATAATACAGATACACTAAAGTCTCCGCCTGCTTTCCTTCTTATTTTCTCTCTCTTTCCCCCAAATCTCTAACTTTCAAAAAGTTTCTTGTTTCACTAATTTAATTCATTTCTTCCACTATTAACCCTAATGCCGCTTCTTCTGTCTACAAAAAAATGGATCTTCTGAACCGCAGCAGGTTCCTTTGAATAAAACAAATTATTTGCTATTACAAGTTTAAAAAAAAAAAACAGCGACATACCATTCTAAAGTCGGACAGACAGCCAGATTCAACCTGGGTCTCTGGTGCACTGCCCCCTCCTCTCTGCCTCGGCGCTCCAGTCGGGTCCGCCCCGCCGTCGCCGTTGCCATGGCTCAAGCTGATATTGCACTGATTGGACTTGCTGTCATGGGCCGTAACTTAATTTTGAACATGAATAGCCATGGCTTTGTGGTCTGTGCTTTCAATAGGACAGTCTCCAAAGTTGATGATTTATTGGCCAATGAGGCAAAGGGAACCGAAGTAATAGGTGCTCACTCCTTGGAGGAGGTGGTCTCCAAGCTGAAGAAGCCTTCGTGGATCATACTGCTTGTGAAGGCTGGTCAAGCTGTTGATTTCATTGAAAAATCAGTACTGTTGTTGGATGCTGGTGACATCATTGATGGGGGAAATTCTGAATACAGGGATATGAGACGATGTCAAGACATCAAGGCCAAGGGAATCTTGTTTGTGGGCAGCGGCGTCAGTGGTGGCGAGGAAGGGGCCTGGTATGGCCCATTGTTTATGCAGGGAGGGAACAAAGAGGCCTGGGCCCACATCAAGATGGTCTTCCAGGGCATTGCTGCCAAAGTCAGAACTGGAGAGCCGTGCTGTGACTGGGTGGGAGAAGAGGGAGCCGGGCACTTTGTGAAGATGGTGCACAATGGGATCGAGTATGGGGACATGCAGCTGATCTGTGAGGTTTACCACCTTATGAAGGACATCCTGGGCATGGAGCACAACGAGATGGCGCAGGCAGTTGAGGAATGGAATAAGACAGAGCTGGACTCGATCGAAATCCCAGCCAATATTCTCAAGTTCTAAGGTAGCGATGGCACTCCCCTGCTGCCAAAGGTCAGGGGCAGTGCAGGGCAGAAGGGCACGGGGAAGTGAACCGCCATCTCAGCCCTGGAGTACGGAATGCCTGTCACCCTCATCGGAGAAGCAGTCTTTGCCTGATGCTTATCATCTCTGAAGGACGAGCGGATTCAAGCTAGCAAAAAGCTGAAGGGTCCTCAAAAGTTCCAATTTAAAGGTGATAAGAAATCATTCCTGGAGGACATTCGAAAGGCACTCTATGCTTCCAAGATCATCTCTTATGCTCAAGGCTTTACGCTGCTAAAAGAGGCAGCCACTGAATTTGGCTGGCCCCTCAACTATGGCGGCATTGCCTTGATGTGGAGAGGGTTCTGCATCATCAGAAGTGTATTCCTGGGACAGATAAAAGATACATTTGACCGGAACCCAGAACTTCAGAACCTTCTGCTAGATGACTTCTTTAAGTTAGCTGTCGAAAGCTTCCAGGACTCCTGGCGTTGGGCCATCGGTACTGGTGTCCAGGCGGGCATCCCCATGCCATGCTTCACCACAGCTCTTTCCTTCTATGATGGGCACAGACACGACATGCTGCTGGCAAACCTGATCCAGGCTCAGCGCGATTACTTTGGGGCGCACACCTATGAGCTCCTAACCAAACCAAGAACGTTCATCCACACCAACTGGACAGGCCACGGGGGCAGCATGTCGTCGTGTTCGTACAATGCCTAACAAGGCGGCCTACCCCACGACTCCACAGACAGGGACATCCCCTCATCACCTTTGCCACACAACACTGCTTACACCACCCTTCACCCTACTTTCTGCTCAGATCTTTTAAAGTAAAGCACAACGAGGTACTCCTGAAACAGTCAGCCCAGGTTATGTGTGGAGTAGCTCTGTGAGAACCGATATACCCTGGCCTCCAGGGCTGACCAGCAGTTGTCATATGCTCTGTAGGAGTCACTTCACTGTCCACATGTCCCTGTGGAATTGGGAGGCCCCAGAGTTTGCCCTGGGAGAGGTCACAGAGAACGGGAGGGAAAGGAAGGGTTTTGTGGACTCAGCTTTGGGGCTTTTGTATTGTGCAGCTGAATTCCCTTTTTCTCTACTTAATAAAAGCTATATTATATTTCAAAAAAATAATAAAATAGAATAGGACGGTTGAGGGAGGTAAAAAAAAAAATTTAAAATAAATATTTGATGTTAAATGAGTCAAAGCAGGGTGATGATCTGAGGTTAAACCCCTAACCCAGTAGGAAGCATTAAAAAAGGGTTTCCAAAACCGATAAGGGTTGAAAAACCGAGTCTTTTCACTAAGCACTGATTCACACCCCGCTGAAACATCATTATCTCTTCTCTCTCTTGTCCTTTGGGGTGTAATTTATAGTAACTCTCATGATTTGCAGTTGACATGTTTGTTTGTGTGTAGAGCAAGGAAAATTATTAGCAATCATCTTTTTATACTGCTATTAAAATGTGGTTGAGAAATAATGTCAACATTTGTGAAGTGAATTAATCTAAGTTGGACTGCTCTAAGCAGCAGTGCCAAAGCCAGACTTTCCTTTCCTGGGAGTCAGCATTCTTCCCATGACATTGTACTAACTTCATCTTCTGAGGAGAAAATACATCTGGAGCAGTGCCTGGCACTTGAAAAATATTGAAATATGATTATTATTATCACCATGCTCATAATTTTCATTAAGCGTTCATGATAAGTGTTCTACTGACATTGCCTCATGGACTATTGAGAAACCTGTGAGGTAGACATGATTGTGATCACTCTGAAGTAGAGGCACAGGCCAGTCATACAACTTAAGATTAACAAGGTGATGCAGCCAGGTAGTAGCCGAGTTGAAATTTTAACTTGAGCAGTAAGGCAATGTTAAATAAAATATATTCATTTTTTAAATGTACAACATAATCGCAAGAATATAAAGCTGCACAGAACACAGAAAAGGAATAAATAACTGTAAAACACCAATAATGATTGAATTTGCATGGAAGGGCTAAGAATTTGTATGTTTTACTTATTTCTAGTTCTTTCCATATTGCCAATTGTATTTAATAAGCCTGTACTCATTGTATTATGAAAAGAAAACATTTATTTTTAAATGGTGCACATACCAAATGAAAATCTCATCTCCAAGATGACCTAGGAAGTAGAATCTGGTTACAGCCATCCTGGGGCTGTTTACTGTAGACAGCATGTTCGCATATGGGTCTGCCACATGCCCACCACTGAAGAGAAAGCTGGTCAGTTTTCAGGGAAAAAACTGAAATTTATGACAAGAAGGGAAAAATATTGTGAGAATCATTTAGATAGTTGTCTTGATCGTGGTGGGAAAAGAAGGGGGTGAGGAAACAGGTAACAATGTTTCATAAAACCTAGAATCAAGTACTTATTCCCTATACCAAATATAGACCTTCATCTCCAACTAATTTATAGACCTTAAATACCCCCAGCTAGAAATAGCCATAATTCAGCACTGCAACTCTCAAAGGAAAAAAAAAAAAAATCAAACACTGAAATTGAGTAAAATCTTCTCAGGACGTCTGGTTCCTAAAAGCTGGAATTTTATAATCAGAATATTCATGGGTAGTGCCAGTGTCCAATGCAGGTGCCCCTGCCAACGAGCATGTCGCTGTGCACAGGAAGTGCACGGAGATCTGCACACGCACAGACACACTTGTAGACCTTTCAGTTGCATCGCTGCTTCTTTAGTATTCAGGATTAGAGTTTGCTTCGTCAAAATGGAGCCCTGTACTTTTTCTGAGAGTAAGCCTCCTGGGTTCAGTTACCTTTGTGGGTTTTCTTTTTGCCTATTTTGCTTATTCATTGATCATCTACTCAATAAATACTTAATTAAGTATTTGCTATGCATGAAGTGGAGAAAACAGTTGTTAATCATGAGAAATAGCACGAGACACAAATTGCAAGTGATCATAGCAAGGGCAGTGCTCTGATAGAACAGAGTGCAAGGTGCTATAAGAGCATTAAGCAGACAAGACAGCCAGCCTTCAGACAGGTCTGGCAATGAACTGGGGAGGGTGTCAAGGTGGCTGCCTTAGGAAAACATCACCTGAATTGAGCTTGTTGGAGGGGTAAATGCCAGACAATTGAAAGGAGGGGGGTCCTATGAGGCAAGGTTTACCAGACAAAAGGAGCAGCATGTCTATTTCTAAACAATAGAGTTCCAAAGTGGAAGCGACAGGATTCCTGATGTTTACTAAAGGGTTATAACCCTTGGAACGTGCTATTTTCCATCCTGGGAAAAGGAAAGCATTGGGGTAAGATTTACAATTGATGCTGTCAGTTTATCAGGCTGGAGCAGGTGTGGGGAGCAGCAAGAAATCAAGTCCAGAAGGAACAAAATCAGAAATAGAGAGATGAGAAAAAGTAGTAAGTAATGGCCATGGCAAAAGGCCACCCGAGACTGCACAACAAAACTCGGGCATGAAAATAAAAGCCAGACCATGTGTTAGAGGAAAGGTTGTAAAAAACTCAAGAGCAATTAAAGATTCCTGCAGGTTAGGCTCTGCTTCAGCATCAATATAAAAATAGCAATTGATTTCCCAAAGGGGACACACTCTCTAGCACTGTGAAGTAAAAAAATCTTCACATTCCAGTAAATAATGTGTAATATGGTACAAAAAACAACCAAGACAACATATTATTTATCTTTTAAAAATTTTTATTAAATTTATTGAGAGTAATGTTAGCTGATAACATTATATGTTTCAAGTATACAATTCTATAAGTATATCATCAGTATGTTGTATTGTGTGCCCGTCACCCAAAGTCAAGCCTCTGCCCATCACCATATATTTGACTCCTTTATCTTCTTCTGCCTCTTCCCATCCCCCTTTTCTCTGCTAACCACCATACTGTTGTCTGTGTCATGAGTTTTTTATTTGTTTGTTTGTTCCTTTGTGGCTTTCTGTTTTATATCCCACATAAGAATAAAATCATATGGTTCTTGACTTTGAGTGACTTAGTTTGTCTAGCATGATACTTTCTCCACTCAATTTGTCACAAATGGCAGTGATTTACCTTTTCTTATGGCTGTACATATGTACATGGTCATAGTGAGGCCGAGAGATCACAGATTTGTTTGGAAATCTAGTTTGGGAAAAATAATCATGGGAGTTTTGTCCAATCATGTTCAATTTAGAGATAGTTTGACCTTCTATAACTTCGACTCTCCTCAGTCTTTAATAAAAAAGACATCTCTCTACTTTTTTGTACTCTGTATTCTTTAAAAGGCCCTTATGAAAAACAATATTATTTTAATAATTTTATTCTAAACCTAACCTGTCAGTATCATTTAAAATGTTTATCTTTTTATTATAATAAATAATACATTCTCATTTTAGAAAATAAAGAAAAGCATATAAAAATTGATATTAATCACAATCGTGTCAAGTATAAAATTAAAATCACAGTTAACATTATAGTATATGTTCTTTCAGTAATTTTCCTATACAATCAAAATGGTGTAGAAAGTATAATGGAAGCTATGTAAAATTTATATCTTGCTTTTTTGCTTTGATATGTCATAAAGGTTTTCCAAATTGTTAGAGTAATAATACAAACATCAATTTAAATGCTTAGATTCACCTTATGATCTCACTATAAATTATGTAACAATTCTTCAAATATTGTGTGTGCATGTGTGTGTTGTAGTGAAAGAAATAGATACAACCAAACAACAAAATTGAATTTACACAGGACATTTTAAAATATAAATCAGTGTGTGCATCTCTGATATTTGTCTTTGGATCAATTCTTCGAGTTATTGAGTTAAAAGATATAAATATTTTAAAGCAGAAAATAATCAGAATTTGCCTAAATAAACTGTACAAGATATTTAATTTTATGATTATATAAATCACAGATATAAAATTTTCAAAAGGTTTGAAAGATAAAAGAAATGGACTAAATAAACTTAATTAAATGAATTACCTGTATTTGGAAGGAGATCATAAAAATTAATAAATTACAATAATCTTCTTACACTGTAATTTTAGTGGAGACATGACACAGGGGTCATTTGAAATATCTCATGTATTTGTACATTTGTATTTTGATGTATTACGGTTCAAATTTCTAAATTTCTTAAAATGGAACTAGTTTTGACAGAGTTTACATTCCTGTAAACATTGATTTGAGCTTTTGTGTTCTTCTGAAAGATTGAATGGGCCTACCAGGGGCCAGGTCATTTGATGCACACTTTTACTGTTTTATGTTGAAGACATATTTAAAGTATTTGTATCCTCTCTGAGATCTCTAGAAGTTTCCATGTCATTAATGCTGAGTAATTCAGAAACATATACATTGATCGGTGAGTTGATTCTCTGACAGCTTAAACATTTTCGTTAATATTAAATTTGTTTTTATTTTATTTTTTATTTGTTAATTAATTAATTTACTTATTTTTGTTACATATGTTTCTCATTTTTCCCCACTGATTCCCCCCACCCCGTCACTCCCTGCCCTGTCCCCAGCTTTGTTGTTCATGTCCATTGTTCACACATACATGCATAAAAGTTCTGTGGTTTATCTCTAACCCCTATCCCCTCCTCTGGGGATTGTCAATCTGTACCCCACTTCCATGTCTCTGGGACTACTACCCCATTTCTCAGACTGTTATGTTCATTATATTCCACAAACAAGTGAGATCATATGATACTTGTCTTTCTCTGTTTGTCTTGTTTCACTTAAGATAATA